TGCTCTACCAAGTGAGTTCCAAGACAGTCAGGACTGCTGCACAGACACATCCTGTCTCAAAAACAAACAAAGCACCACCCACAGCTAAGCAATCTAGGAGGTAGAGATGATCCTTAGACGTCACACTCTCGTCTGACCGATAAAAAATCCACTGCTGATAATTTAACGGAAGACGCTGAGCTCTAAGAAGAAGCATTATTCTTAAAGCAACCAAAGGTGTCAAAGAAAGGACCTTATAGATGGCAAACTTACCCCACACATAGGCGCTGGGAATGTCTGCCTTGGGCGCCAAGCCAGGGAACGTGGACAGGGCTGTGGCGAGCTGGGCAGGGCATTCCTCTTCTCTTCTGTCATTGGTTTCTGGGGCAAACAGTCTGTCTTTGGGCTGCTGAGGTGGCTCAGTTGGTGAAAGGTCACAAGTCTGATAACTGAGTTCAGTACTTGGAACCTACAAGGTAGAAGGACAGAACCGACTTCAGTGAGTTGCCCTCTCTCTCTCTCTCCCCACACTTGCCTTGAGCAGCCGCCACCTCAAATGGATGACTCGGGGGGGATGATGTCCAAGGCAGTTGGGAATCATGAATGGAGTTGTGAAAACTATGTATGCAGGGAGGGCTACCCCCTCCCCTCAATGAAAGCCCAGAAACAGGCAACAGTGGAGCGTGTCTAGAAATGGAGGGGTAAGTGATGTATATGACAGAATAATAATAAAAATCAAGATTGGAGAAGTAGGCCAGGGCCACAGCATGCAGGGTCTGACATCTTCGAACTGCAGAGGCTTCATAAGCATTAGGGTTGTTACCAACTCACGTCTTCTTGAGTCAATGAATAACAGAGTGAATAAAAGACTCCTTCTAAGGGAAAAAGCAGCGTTCTATGCCATTGTGATGGCTCTCAACCCAGGAAAGCGTGTGCGTGTGCGCACGCGCGTGTGTGGGGGGGGGTGGAGAGAGAAGGTCACACACAAAGTGTCACGAACCTCACCCAGTGGCGCTCATTTGAGAACGCTGCTCTAACGCTTACTAGTTAAAACAAAGAATCGTGCCAGCTGTCATTTCTTCAGCTCCTATCTCAGGAGAGTCATCGGCGGCCCCTGGCAGTACTACTGGCCCACTGTGCGCCTGATGTGGCCCATGCGTTCTGTGCTATTTGTTAGCCACTTTCTCGGCCTTTGTTTTCTTTTTCCGCCGCCTCCCTCTCTACCCCTCCCGTCTGAAGGTCACTGCTCCTCCACTTGCTGTACTGTAAGGACGGCCGGCCTCCGTGCTGAGTGTGTGTGGCTGTCTACTCACTCTGCACACTTCCGGGGGTTTCACCACGCTCTCTCCGCTTCAGCTACCCTGAAAATGCTGTGAGCTGTGCTTGTGACCCTCCAACTTTTCTCCTGCGCCCCAGATTATTTCCAGTTGTCCATCATAACTTATTAGCACATCCCACAGGCACGTCGAAGCGGATGTCTGAGCCCTGAGTTCATGTTTTTCTCCCTCCGCTGCAACCTCCACCCCCAACGCAGGTCCGGCTATCCCAACCTGGCCTTCCTTACCGTCACAAGCAATGCCATTCTTCCCCACAAAGTTAGGAAGCTTAAACCTTCCCCAACATCTGCTTGCCCTTGGCAAGTTCTTTCTCATCAGGAGGGTCTTCATAAATCTTTTTGTCATTGCTTGTGGTTCTTTTCTTACACAGGGTCTTAGCCTCAAACACTCCGTGTCCTTAAAATAAACGCAACCCTTTTCTGTGCAAGCCTTTCTGTCACTCCTACCCCTCTGCCTTATGTGTCCTTATCAACCCTTGGTCCTTTGGTCTCCTTAATGTTCTACACATCTGCCAGGATTGCACTAAACCCATGCCCTGATTGTGCTGGAAAACCTCTTTAAGCCATTAAATCCACAAGACACAATTTAATGCCTTGGAGTAAGCTCTTCCACAATCTGGACTCGGAATATGACCTGCCTTGACTCTATGGATTGTTTAAATTCTGTCCTACATCCCTTCAACTTGTTGCCACTCAATTCATACTCCCCAGATGGGCCATGCTGTCCCACACGCAGGGGCCTCCGTAGGGTAATACCATAAGTGCCTATTCAGGCATCTACCATGTTCTAAACACCACTCCAGGGCCTCAAAAACAAAAATTAGAGGATAAAGATCCTCCTGCCATTGATCGCAGCCCAGAGAAAGGGAGACAAGCATGTCAGCAGATACTAATAATGGCCTGTGATGCACACAAACTAGAAACACGCAGAAGGAACAGGTGTGACAGAGCAGCTGATGGCGGGCACCGGGCACTAGACAAGGAAGCGTGTCAGCATCTCGACGGAGGCAGATGGGGAGAGGCGGTACCAACATGACCCAGGGCATTGGCCTGAAGCAGCTTCCACATCATACATGAACAGAATCAAAGGAAATAACCCGAGTAAACTGCATACCTAAACACGATTAAGATAGTGAATTTTATGTGCTCTCATTGACATTAAAATTTTTTAATTGTTTTTATAAAATACAGTGAGGGGAGATCCAAGGAGCACCTGCCTATCTGTCCCACCTTTTCAACATGTGACGTCTTCCCAGCTCTCGCAGCTGAGGGCCACACTTCTGTGAGCCTTGTGGACTATCTCAAGCTGTGCAGCCTTCATCTTTGCTGGCTCCTATGCAGACCTCTAGGACATCACAGTGTATGGGAACTTTTATTCACAATTGTGTTTTTTTTTTTTTTCTTCAAGCCTGTGAGGTCCTTGATGTCTGGCACCGCTTCTCAAACATAGATCCTACACCTCTATGAGTTTCTGGTGCTTGATTAATGAATCTACTACGAATAAACTATCTTTCAAATCCACACTAATGGCTTTGCATACACAATCTCCTTTCAGTCCTATATGCGTGTGTGTGTGTGTGTGTGTGTGTGTGTGTGTATGTGTGCGCGCACGCGAGTGTGTGTGTGTACACACATATACATATACATTCTTCAGGATATAGACAGTCTGATTTTCACTGTTACAGATATGGACATTGAGAGGCTGGGTATCTTTCCAAGGGTCATACAGTTGAGCAATGAAGTCAAATGGAATTTTGGATGTCAAGGTAACTAATATATAAAGTTTTGAAAGGAAAATGTAGGATCTAAAAATTTAGTTGGCAGGTCACGGCAGAAAAACCTGTCCTGGGCAATAGCAGACTGTGCTACACACCTTGCTGAAGGGACTTTGTATGAAGTAACTCCAACCTTCAGAGGAGGGAGACAGCGTACTGAAGGAGTCGGGACTTGGGCAAGCTAAGTTTCTCCCTCCGAAGCACAGAGCTAAGGAGGGAGGAGCTCTAACCAAGATCTCTCCCACCATCTCTCATTTGACTCTTGGAGGGAGGAGTGGAAAGGAGATGAGGGGATTCTGAGGTGGAGAGATTATCTGCCGTTCGTCAATACATCAGAATCATGTGACCAAAAGGGTAGAGGGAGCTGAGAAGCCTGGGGAAGCCCTGCAGTGACCCTGTAAGGGGGATTCTGTTTCTAACTCAGGTGAAATGGAAGAAAGTGGACTGAGCACCAGTTAGAGGATGCAACTTAGAACACCGTTTATAAGATATAATGAACCAAATACGTGCATTATAGATTCACACGTGCGCGCGCATGCACGTGCACACACACACACACTTTGCTCACATCTTCTATCCCACGGGCAAGGCAAACACTGAGTGGTAGACAGTTTAGGGAGGGCTGAAAAGGCAGGCTTGCAAGGTTGTCCTCTCACAGCTTTCGGTCTGAGGACACAGGCTAACCCTCCCAGATTAAATCTATGTCTTCCTGTTCCAAACCTGAACCTCTCCCATATGAAATGGGAGAACAACAAATGTGTCCATGCCACTACCCAGTCACAATCTCTAACCTGAGGCGTGACCTTAATACTGCCTCGCCAGTGACCATACCTGCCTTCCTAAACCTGCTCCCACATCTCAGACTTCTACTGTCTCATCTAATGTCCTCACTTCCTGTCACTCACAAAATGCTTTCAACCAGGAGAAAAATCCCACCAGCAACCGCCTCTTAACCTGCATTGCTGGCCACAGGGTACATCCCCCATTCCGTCACTGTGAACTGGCAATGCCCACCCCACCCCACTCTACAGTATCAGATTCCATCCCCTTCCTGTCTCAAATCCACTCAGGTATGCCTCCAGTAATTCCCTCCTCTCTCTCTGATGACTTTTATCTTTCGATTAGCTCTTCACAATCAACATTAAGCATCAACGTGCTATATTTTCTCCCCCTTTAAACAAACAAAAAACCAAATTCTCATTTGGTTTCACAGCCCCAGCCAATTTTCACTTTGGAAACAGCCATCTGGACTCCCGGTAGAATTCTCTCTATAGTTCTCTTTAATTACATCCCATTTACTACTGAACTGAACTCTTCCTATGACGGCCTTCGTGTTGTTAAGTTAAGCAATCCACTCTCTTTGTCCATCTTCTCTGCAGTGTTAGACAGCTGATACCTTTTCTCTCCCTTACAGCCTTCTTTACTTTTAGAATAGCGGTTCTCAACCTGTGGGTCGCAACCCCAGAGGGTGGACCAACTCTCACAGGGATCCCCTAAGACCATCGGGAAACACAGATATGTAGTTATAACACAGCAACAGAAACAAGGTTATGATGTTATGGTTGGGGGTCACTCAGCATGAGGAACTCTATTAAAGGCTTGCAGCGTCAGGAAGGTTGAGAACCACTTGTGATTTTTTTCCTCAAGAAATGCTCCTTCTGTTTCCCTCACTGGTTTATCCACATCACTTCAACCAAAAGGTCTTCATACACCGCACTCTCCACCTTAGAATAAATCACATGGTTCTTTTTCCAGCAGGCAGGTTCTTTTTCCAGTAGCCTGCTTATCTGTAGTTAAACTTTCATTCTCCAAGCGCTCACCAGCTGGCCAAAGGAGGGTGCAGTTCGATGAGGTGACGCCATTTGCCAGGCACGAGCTCCACACTCACCGGTCCGTCTCTTCCGTTGTAGCCTGCTCCTGCCATCCAGTTGGATCAGCCACCCTTCCTTCCAGCTCGGTGACCTTCTGTGACCCTAGCAATGGTGACTGCCCCTGCAAGCCTGGGGTGGTAGGACCACACTGTGACAGGTGCATGGTGGGATACTGGGGCTTTGGAAGCTACGGATGCAGGCCTTGCGACTGTGCAGGGAGCTGTGACCCACTCACAGGAGACTGCATCAGCAGGTGAGTGTGCACACCTCCTGTCCTTGTCTGTGAGCCGTTCAAGCTTCCAGAGATGCAGCCGGCAGACTGAACACCAGAAGCAGAGCGCACGTCGCTCACATCTCTTTAAGAAATATGTATGTATATATATATATATATATATATATACACATACATATACATATGTGTATATATATATTCAATTTGAAGAATCAAATAATTTGTTCTTGTGATATTTTTAGGAAATCACCCATCTCATTTTGCAAAATAAGTTACTTTGCACAGTAATTTCCCCAAAGCAGCACTGGTGTCTGTGAATAGGGAGGTTTGGATCTAGGTAACACGATGCATTTTTTATCGGCTTCTAAAACTTCTCACTAAGTGCGGTTGTTGTCTGCTTTGTTAGTAGTGCTGCCGTGGACTGGTACCATGAGCTCCCCGCCTTCCCGTCTCCACACAATAAGAGCGAGCCGGCCTGGGAGTGGGGCGATGAACAAGGCTTCTCTGCACTCCGACACTCGGGTGAGACCGACCACGCGTGGTCTGGAGCCGTAGGGAGGGACTGTGTCAAATCGGGGGACAGTTTGGGAATCCTCTGGGAGACAGTCTTTAGTTCAGAGGTTCTATAAAGCAATGGCCTGTCCCCACAAATGAGAAACTGAAATACAGCTGAGGGGTATTTTAATAGAATTTCTTTCTTTTCTCTTTCTTCTGGTTTTATACAATTTATCCAAAAAAAAATAGACCATCACAGTGAAAAAAAATGTGAATCTCCCCAGAGCTGCCCAGCGGTTTTATAAACTGCAAACTACAAACCCAGGCCATGGCTTGTTTTCAACCTCCTTTCAAGAACCTAACCCCCTCTGTGGGTTAAGAAGTGCCCATGGTGGTCCCTCCTTCGTTCCCTTCACCCCCCTGGTCTGCACGGACCACTGCTGTCTGATTCTGAAATCACAACCAAAGAGCTGTGATTTCGCCCCCCCCCCCGACTCTTTACCCCCCCCCACACACACACCCTCACCCACACCCACCCCACTCAGAACACTCTGTTTCTAACCCTCAGAGGGAGTTGTCTGGCTCTCACATGGCCTGTATCTGTTTTCTCTTCTCCTTTCCCCAATATGGCTGTGTTTAAAGCTGAGGTAAGGCGGGGGTGATGGTGTCACTCGGTAAAGTGCTTGCACAGCAAGCACAAGGGCTTCCAATTTGATCTCTGTCGTGTGACAGAGCTTTTTTCCAACACACATGTCTACTCACCCATGGGGAAGCCCATGACAGACCAAAGTACGGATACCCCCAAAGTCCAACTTGGTGAACCGATGAGTATTGTTGGGGTTACTCACAGGAATATGGTTGAGGGGTTCACTCACACGAGCTGAAATGACTCAAGGGCAGCTGTGTCACCAAGGCCTACCACAGCAGGGGTAACAGCTCACAAACCCGGGACCTGGAGCTCACGGGGCTGCCTGCGCAGCTCAAGGGTTGGAGGGTTTCCTTGCCAGGTTCTCCCCGCGTGCCAGCAGCCTGGCTGGTTTCTGCTTTTTTGCAGCTTTTCCCAAAGAATCTTCTTTGCATCAGCTTCCTCATCTCAGGTTTAATGCTTACTCAGGCTGGGCAGAGCCTAGAGAATCTGTTTGGCTTCAGGAACCTCCTGAAGCTGTTTTGGGGATGTTTACCTTCCTGTCGAGGGAGCTTCCCTGCAGGATGGGATGTTTCCCTCTCAGAGGAAACGGTTACACAACACTCTCCCAGAACAAACATTTGAAAAATAAGACCTCCAAGGCACACACCTATAAGCCTGGCACTTGGGGGAGAGGGAGGGTCGGACAGAAGTGTACCTGGCGCTTGCTGCCCAGGAAATCTAGCTTTAATCAACAAGCTCCAAGTTTAGCCAGAGAAACTCGACTCAAAAATTAAAGTACAACCAAGACGAAACTTGACATTGACTCTAGCCTCCACCACCCACATGCATACCACACGAATACACACGGACACCCCTTAATATTCACATACATACACATAAGTAAAGCTGAACATGTATTTGAGTACTGTGGTGGTTTGGAAGAAAGTGGCCCCCAAAGGAAGAAGCGCTATTAGGAGGTGTGGCTTTGCTGCAGTGGGTGTGGCCTTGCAGGAGGAAGTGTGTCCCTGTGGGATGGGCTTTAAGGTCTCCTTTGCTCAAGCTAGGCTCAGTAGGGTAGACAGTTCGTTTCCTGTTGCCTGTGGATCAAGATGCAGAACTCTTAGCTATTTTTCCAGCACTATGCCTGTCTGGGTGCTGCCATGTCCCACTATGATATTAATGGACTGAACCTCTGAACTATAATCTAGCCTCAACTAAATGGTTTCCTTTATAAAAGCGCTGTGGTCACGAAGTCTCTCCATAGCAACTGAAACCCTAAGTATGAATCTACAAAGCTCTATCACCCATTTATAATATTTTACCAACATTTTATTATTGTCAGAAAAACTTAGAGCTGTTATTCAATTCAGTCTACATTTTAGATAATGAAGAAACCATTGTTTTAACACATTTCCATAAGGAAACTATAGCCAAAGAACCAAGAATTTTGATGTGTGATTTTTCTGTAATAAAGTTTATTTAAAAAAAATTCTTTTAAAGATTCAAACCAGACTTGGTAACACAACCCTTTCACCCCAGTATTTGGGAGCCAGAGGCAGGCAGATCTCTGTGAGCTCAAGGCCAGCCTGGTCTACATAGCAGGCTCCAGGACAGCCAGGACTACATAGAGTAACACTGTCTTAACAACAACAAAAAAGATCCATAAACCCAAATATGAGAAGCACTGGTCTTTGCAATTCTGTTTTTCTCACTAAATATAATGACATAGTACTTTTCCTAATGGTCTCATTTTAACTTACCATAGAAAGAAGGTAGGAAATATGAAGTAATATGAGATCTTATCTATTTGTTTATGTTTGAGACTAAGTCTGATCATGTAGGCCAGATTGGCCTGGGACTGGCTTCTAACCCGTCTCTGTCTCCCAAGTGCTGGAATTACAGGTGTGTACCATGCTTGGCTCTCACATTTATCTTTGTTCAAAGCATCTGAGAGAGATGACAAATATTCATGTTCTATTGTGCGCATTTTGTCACTTTAGTAGCCACTCTTAAAAGTGTCTTCTACTTTGGTAGACAATGATTTCTGCTCTGTAGTGGCCTGCTGGACCAAGTCTGTAATAATCGGGTCATTTGGACGACAGGACATCCACTAAAGCTCATTGTGCTTGTTATTAGGGAGATGGCAGCATGCCCAGTGAGCACATAAAGTGTCCCCACAGCTGTTAGGCCTAGGGTTCCCCAGGGAGCCTCTGGGGTCCATCTGGATGAGTTCCCGAGGGAAGAAGACAGCACAGCTTCAACGTTCCCTTTGGTTATAGCGCAACGGCAAAGTGACAGCCAGTTTCTTAAGCGCTTAAAAAGCCTTTTCACCCTTGAACCTAGCTGCCAACCTGTCTACTGACGTACCGTCAACACCACTAATAGATTTTGACTACAACTATAAAGCAATATGCCAACAAATGCTGGCTTTTGTCACAAAATGCTAATTTCTCCCTTTTTTCCTTTCTTCCTCTCTCTTTCTCCTCTCTTCCCTCCCTTCCTCTTCCTCCCACCTTACTCAGGGCCAGAGATGAAGCCCTGAGCATTTTGTACTTAGCAGGCAAAGTCTTCTATGACTGAGCTCGTTCCCAGCCCTCTATCCTTTCCACTTGTGAGGTAGAAGATACCAGATGTGAAATCTGGCTTCCCCAATGACAAACCTGGCCATAACTAATGCCAGAGAACTGTGAGCAACGTTCATTTTTCAAAATGTCCTAACAACCTACTGTAACTAAACGGGCTTTTACCATTTCCAGATTTCTTAAGTCCTGACAAATGAAAAATATTATTCTCTGAAATTGGCTCTCCTGATATGCCCGGCTGGGCGTGAACTCCCGGGATCAAACAGTCCCTTGGGTTGGGTCTTCCGAGTATCTGAGACAACACAAGTCCCCCAGAACTCCAATGATGGGTGCATATTAATGCTAAAACTCTTAAGCGTGTGAAAAAGGGGTATTGTCAAGAAGCCAAAGACAAACCTTCAAATGGCAGATCTGTGTGTGTTGCCCCAAGGACTAACAAGAGAGTTCTGTGGTGAGGGACGGTGTACTCCATTCACTCGTAGACTTGCTAGCATAGTCTTTGCTTCTGTGAAGGTTTCAGAGGCCATGGGCCATTCACTTACAGCAAATCTGAACGAGGGCCTCTACTGTGTGCAGATTATAAGCAAATCACAATTGCTGCCCTTAAGCGCCTTTAACTTCTCTTCCCCACTATTTAGTTCTACCTGGGATTTTCCACTTATAACCCTTACTCTCTTTTCTGTAACGTGGGTCGCTAGCGCTGACATGCCAGAGTTATTCACACCACTCTCACGGGATTGGCATTTCTGCCCAGATGTTCTGCCAGCCTTCTCTGACTCACTGTATCCTCCTTGTCCTAGGCCATTGGCATTCCGGTCTGGCCACATCCGTTCTTCCCGCCTCCCTGCTACATCTGGGTTAGTGGCTCTCAGTTTTGCTATGAGAAGCCACCCTTCTTTTCTCAATATAGTCTCAAAGAAGCCAATTCAGCGTGCTCTGTCTCTGGAACCCGTGTTGCACCTGTGGTGACTAACCCTGCACATGAGAGAGTTCGTGGCCCCAGAGGCAAAGCTGTGAGAAAGAGCCCAAGTACTCCCGCCACTGCCTGGGTCACTGAGTCTTGCTTTTACTGAGTTCTGATTTCCGCTGCTTCGCCCTCTGAGAGCTATTACTACTCTGTGTCCTTAAAAGCAACAGACTAGACAGGTGATTGCTACTAAAGCCTTTAAAACTACAAAGCCACCGGGCGGTGCTGGCGCACACCTTTAACGCCAGCACTCGGGAGGCAGAGGCAGGAGGATCTCTGAGTTTGAGCCCAGCCTGGTCTACAGAGTGAGTGCCACGGCAGGCTTGAAAGCTACACAGAGAAACCCTGCCTCGAAAAACCAAACAAGCAAAAGCAAAACTATAAAGTCCTGAAATGCCCCCCCCCATGTCTGTTTGTTGGTGATGTCTCAGTCCTCTGTCATTAACTGCAAACTTCATTTTCATGGCTTTCAGTTTTGTTCAAAGGTGTTTTCAAAGTCTTCTGCAGGGCCCGGCAATTCCCTCACGTGCAACAGTTCTAACAGACAATTTCAACTCCCGGAAGAAACGACCCTTCTTTTTTTTTGTAAACAAGCATTCTGCCAGGGAGGCTTTTCTCTTCCCCCTAAGCATGACATATTCCTATCTTAAACCACTTAAACTGTATATATATATATATATATATATATATATATATGTATATATATATATATATATATATATATACATACACACACACACACATACACACACACACACACACACACTCACTTTTTACTTGCCAAATTGAAAGCCTTGGGCAAGAATTGTATTTTAGTGTTTTATTTTTGTCCGCCACCTATCTCCCAAATAAAGTACACACGGAGTCTTATTATTACCTATAAATGCCTGGTCTTAGCTTGGCTTGTTTCTGGCCAGCTTTTCTTAAATTATCCCATCTGCCTTTTGCCTCTGGGCTTTTACCTTGCTCTAGTTCTGTATACCTTTCTTACCTTCGTACTCCATGGCTGTCGGGGTGGTTGGTCCTGACATCCTCCCCCTGCTGCTTCCCAGCTCCTCCTCTTCCTCCTTTCTCCTTCTGTTTAATCCTCTCTGCCCGCCAGCCCCGCCTACTCTTGCTCACTATTGGCTGTTGAGCTCGTTATTAGGACCCCCAGGTGTTTTAGACAGGCACAATAACACAGCTTCACAGAGTTAAACAAATGTGCCATAAACAAAAGTCACACGCCTGAAAATAATGTTCTACCACTTAAGAGTCTTGCGTCCTTGTGTGTTCTGAATGACATCACCGTGCCCAGCAGGTCGTAAGGTCTCCAATCACCGCCAATGGACTACCAAGTATTTTTATTTGATTTTTATTGACGCAATTGTTAATTGGATACTTAGTATACTTAGCTACTTTTCTACAGGGTTACACTTTTAGCTGTTCCTTTTTTTATTAACACAGATTACTGATGCTGGACTGTATTTATGACAATATCAGTTTGTGCTTTTGGAATTTGATATTGACTTTATCTTCCACGGTTTACTGAGGTTGATATTTTATCAGATGATTGTCAGTTCTATTTGGAAAGAGAATTTGCTTCTCTTATGCTACTTTCATCACCACTTAATAGTTATAGGTGTTACATAAATTAATGAAGGGGTAAACTGTGTTAGCTGGATTTGCCTACTGAAACACCCGCCACCCCCTCCCCACCACCCCGTAACACAATTTCCCATCTACTTTATGCAGGTAAATGTGACTGTAAGGAACAAGTGTTAGGAAACCCCAAGGCATTCTGTGGAATGAAGTATTCATACGGTGAGTTTGAAGTCCTCAGTGGTGAACATCCTATCCAGACTACATAAGAGCTTCCCAGGGAAGCTTGAGGCTGAGGAGATTCCACAGCACGTAAGATGCCTGGGAAATGCTACGATGGCCGTTTGTGAGGCATTAAGATTTGTGACTCAAGCTGGGTAGTGGTGGCTGGCACACACCTTTAGTCCCAGCACTCGGGAGGCAGAGGCAGGTGGATCTCTGTGAGTTCGAGGCCAGCCTGGTCTACAAATTGAGTTCCAGGCCAGCCACAGCTACATAGAGAAACCCTGTCTTGAAAAAAAAACAAAAGGAAAAAATTTTGGGATTCACCTAGGACTGTTCCCGAATATCCATACATTCTTCTACCATTCACATTAAAACAAAGAAATAAACAAAACCAGCATATGAAAATAGGAAAATGGAATTTCTCTAAATAATGACTGTTACTATCTTCAAACTCTGATTGGCTCTGTATTTATTATGAAATATGTTAGATTATCTTATTTTGCCAACCCATTCTTGACTAACGTCTGAGGCTTTCTAATTGCCCCCACAGTTCATATATGGCTGAAAATATGTATTTGAATAAAGAGAAAGTTTTTCAGTCATGATCCCCAAAACCAAAAGGAGTATTCTCATGCTTGATTTTGTTTATTGTTCTTTCTTAGCTGGCCTGAAACTTAATACAACGCTGGCCTCCAAGTCACAGAGATCTGCCTGCCTCTGCCTCCAGTGTGCTGGGAGCCACTGTGTGTGTGTGCCTGTGTGAGTGCACGTGTGCCTGTGTGGCTTGAGAGGTGGCTCAGCAGTACTGACTGCTCTTTCAGAAGACCCAGATTGGGTTCCCAGCACTCACATGGCAGCTTACAACTGTCTGTAACAGTTCCAGGGAATCTGACACCCTCACACAGACATACATGCAAACCAAACACCAATGTCAACCTACCCTGTTCAACACTTTACAGTGTAGAACACATAGAATTAAAATATCACATAGAATTCCAGAGCATGTATAATTTCTATGTGTCAATTTAGAAATATTTTTCAGGTATTAAAAATTAAAAGAAGGATCTGGCGAGATGATTCGTCAGTTAAGAACACTTGCTGATCTAACAGAGGACCAGGGTTCAGTTCCCAGCATGCACATAGTGGCTCACACTGTCTGTAATTCTAGCTCTGGGTCAGGGCTGGAGGGATCTGATGTTTTCTTTTGTCCTCCATGGGCACCAGGAACACACATATCGCGAACATACATACAGGCAAGCATTCATACGCATAAAATAAAAATAAATCAAAGAAAAAGAGCACTATAGTCCTGCCATCACGTAGGAGGGCAGTTTACCTCACCCAGTCAGCTTACACTGTACTCCACAGAACAGCAAAAACAATGTTATATAACATCTGTAAAGTGATGTAAAATATACCCCTATCAAAGCATTCTGTCCTCTGTCATAACATCATATACGGGAGACCACACAAGTATACTACCATCAGAATCTAAATAAAAACAAGGACAGTAGTTCACCTTCCTATTTATTCTTTCTTTGTAGTTTTCATATGTGAATATTCTTTTTTTGTTTTGTTTTGGTTGGTTGGTTTTTGAGACAGGGTTTCTCTGTATAGCACTGGCTGTACTGGAACTCTCTTTGTAGATCCAGCTGGCCTTGAACTCAGAGATCCACCTGCCTCTACCTCTTAAGTACAGAAATTAAAGGTGTGTGCCTCCATGCCTGGCTCAGCTGGAGATGCTTAAAATTTTGCAGAAGGCAAGGGATAATATCTTTCTAGTACCAGAATATGGGAAGGTGCAGAAGTTGAAACTTCCCAGTAAAGAGAAAATAAAATATAAATGAGATTAAATCATTGTGAAAGTGAATGAACCTCATGATTTTTAAAGCAGATTTCCACATTCTGATTTTCATTGACTCACTTTTCCATCATACTTGGAACTGAGTCATCAAATTGTTTGAATTTCAAGAGAAAACATGACGTTCGTGCGTTTTCTTAACTTTTGGAATTGTGTTGTTCCAGTGTTAAAAATCAAGATTTTATCAGCACATGATAAAGGCTCACACGCCGAGGTCAATGTGAAGATAAAAAAGGTCTTACAGTCGACGAAACTGAAGGTCTTACCAGGCAAGCGAACGCTGTATCCAGAGTCCTGGACAAACAGAGGCTGCACGTGCCCAATCCTGAACCCAGGTGAGCACTAATCAGACTTAATTAGTTAATCTTGTGACCCTCGTCTCTGCACTCTAGCTGGCTGCCTTACATCCTCTGAAGCAAAACTCAGTAAGGTCTTCTTCCCCCCCCCCCCCCTTACCTTCTGAATACTGGGAAAAATCCAAAAGGAGTTCTTTGAACTGACAATGAAAAATACAAAACCCAATCCTCTCCATGTGCTCTAAAGACGTAAAATATTTTAAAATCCAGCAGTATAATACTTTCTGTCCTGAGAGAGACACCTCAGATTGGCTGCCCCCTGCATCGACAGAACTCTCCTGAGCTGTCTGCCATGTATGTGTTATTTGAAAACTAGGGCCCCCTTCCATGCAAACCTGTTCCCAAAGGAAGGGCCATGCAAAAGCCCATCGGTGCCAAATGACTCCGAAACTGTTTTCACTATTGCATGAGAGGCATCTGTTTCCCCTGGATAGAAAACAACTCCTAAGTTTTCATCCTGTTGTTTTTCATTAAATGAGCATTCTGGCTTCGAATGAGAAACAGCAGGGGAAAAGAATTTAAATACAATCTTAGCGAGGTTTGACTAGAACCTGAGAAACATAGCGCAGAGATGATGGTTCGTGATTCTATAGATTCCTGGCAATGGCACTTTCAGGGTGCAGGACCAGCTGGCATAGGGTTCGCCTATGACAAACTTCCTTCAGGGTTATGTGAGAAGTCTGCTAAGGACACCACAACCTTATCCTACATGTAAACATTCACCTCACACAGTATCCTCAGCCACTTCTCTGTCCCCCTTGCTAAGTGTGAAGACAGGATATAGATTTCTGATCACAGTGTATCTTCAATGGCCATCCAGCATCAGCACCCAAATATAATATAGTGTGCAGATGATAGCTTCTAAAAGCCTGCTTCCGGCCCCGCACTTCGTGATTTCCTGTTTGTGCAATCATCGCCTGAGCTCTAGGACACAGCTAAGACAGGTTCATAATTTATATTCTGCATCTAATGTCTTCCGATCCACGAAAGCACAGTTACGTTAGAAAGAACTCTTCTGTGTTTTTAATTAACAAATTAAAAGAAACAGGTTAACAGAGGGAAAACTACAAATAAAATATTGCCTTAATCTAAACACAACCAGTGTTCTACAATAAAAATAATTTTCTCAAGTTAGCTAATTTCTTATAACCTCTTTCCATCCCCTCTAATATTTTACTTAATTTCACTTAAATATCAATAAGGTAGAAGGGAAACTTTTTTAATTATAAGGATAAACAGTTCCAAAGCATAAATCTGAAGAGTAAGTAAGAATCTTGGATGTGTTAATACAGAAAACAAAGAGCCATTCATTTAAATTCTGTTTCCTGATGATCTGCGCTTAGGGGCTCTTATGAGCAATTTTCTATTATCTTGCCTAAAGGGGGAGGGGAGCCTGTCCGGTTTTGCAGAATGACATTAAAAACAAAAGTTCTGACCATCTGAGCCAACCTCCAGGAAGTGAGCTATATTTCCTGCTCAGGTTGCTGCCAGAGTCCAAGCACCAACTGAGCTCATCACAATTGAAAACATAAGCGCAATTATTCAAAGAATTCTTGAAAACATGTTTACTTGCTTTGAAGAAAAATCTGGAAGCTGCCAAAGCAAAACCAGACACTGTTTCATTTTGCTTTTGTTTTTCCATTTTTACAAGTTCAATAAGAAAACCAAAGAAGACTGATAAAAAAAATACTCTGAAACCCTATGTCTCAACTTACCTCCTGTGCTGCCTTTGGAAAGAAGTAAGCTACCAGCCCACTCCTCTGTGACTGGTACATACATTTCATCAGTCACGTCTTTGTTTTTTATCTATAAAAGAAAGGCAATGTACTTTGGTGCTAGCATTGGTATTCAAAGACTGAATGCTAGCACCAAAGTACATTGCCTTTCTTTTATAGATAAAAAACATTGTGCCCTCAAACATATAACAAAGCAGTCATCAAACTGTAAAGATAGACAAATTCAATACAAATGATACTAAGGGGTGTAAAAGAAGACAATATGTTAAGGTATGGTTTGATGGTACTCTGTGCTTTCGAGGTTATTCGGTATCATCTATATTAGTTTTATATTGATACTTTGAATGGAATTCCTGTACTATTTGTTCTATTTATGGCTTTAAGGTAATTTGAAATACTGGTCTTGATCTACAACTTGCTTTTATTATTACTCTTAAGCCTTTATCTGTGTATTCATGTTTTGCCTGAATGCATGTCTGGGCACATGTTCATGAAGCACATACAGGGCAGAAGAGGCTGTTCAGTCTCCTGGGACTAGAGTTACAGATGGGGGTGAGCTGCCATGTGGATGCTGGGAATTGAACCAGGGTCCTCTGCAAGAGCAGCCACTGCTTTTAACCAGAGTCATCTCATCAGCCCTGAAGTTTTTGTAAAAGAGAACTGTATTATTTAAACATTGGGCAATAACAAGATATGAGTTTTAAAAATGCTTGTATTAGTAAAAAGAGAACTTTATTATTTAAATATTTAATTATATATTCTCTTTCTCTCTCTCTCTCACACACACACACACATACACACACACACACACACACACACACACACACACATACATATGCAAACTATAAGTAGCTTGCATGTTTGTTTTACTAGGGATTCAACCTAGGTAATTGTGCACTGCCAGGCAAGCATTCTACCTCTGAGCTACATCCAAAGTCCTTTTAATTTTGAGACAAGGTCTTGCTAAAATGCCCAGGTGACCCCAGACTTAGGATCTCCTTGCCTTAGTGTCCTAAGCAGCCATAATAACTAGGATTACAGGCATGCATCTCTACTCATGGCTCATAAATTTAAACTAATATTTATTTAAATTTTAACATCTAGTGTTTTAATTAAATTTAAAGTATATAGCTCTTTGTCTTAGAAAGTTATAAGCATAATTACTTTCTAGTCCTATATTTTATAAAATTGTTTCTAAATATCAAAATTGACACCATTAAAATATGTAATGAGGGCTATTATCATTTCCTTAACTAGTACATAAAGAGACAATCCATCTCTGTGAGTTTGTTAACCAAAATATTTTACTAAAAGCCTGAAAAAAATTTTTTTTATTATAAGGACAGCACTAAATGTAGTCAAGTCTCATCAGTTTTTTTATCTTGGTTTTTGCTTTATTTTGTTCACAAACAAGCCTCTTATATCCCTCAAATACAGCTGTATAGAGAGAATACCGCTCATTTTATGTCATTCGCAACATTTTCCAAATAGTTGCTTTATTTTTGTAAAGTCCTTTTTTGTTTGTTTGCTTGTTTGTTCTGTTTTGTTTTGTTTTTGTCTTTTGTTTTTTATCAGACAGGATTTCTCTGTGTAGCCTTTGCTGTCCTGGAGCTCACTCTGTAGACCAGGCTGGCCTTGAACTCACAGAGATCCACCTGCCTCTGCCTCCAGAGTGCTGGGATTAAAGGCGTACGCCACCACCTCCCAGAAAAGTCTTTCTTGATTGCTGCTACCACACACACTGACCTCCAGGGAAATCAACACTGGTGCCCATTGGTCCCCCATGTCTCTCACTCAGGGTGCAACAATATGCAGGTCAAGAATCAGACAGCCCTGAGCCTGAGTCCCCAGCCAGCGCTGCTACTTAGTAGGAGGAACTGAACGAGTTTCCTGACTTCTAGGCCTCGGTTTCTCACCCGTACAAAAGGAGAGGCATGACACTTATTTCATAAGTCACATCAAGTTCATATAGGATAATAAGGGTACAGTATTTGGTACCTAATATACACTAACGGTCAGCTCTCACTGTTCATGACTCTCCATCTTATCCACACCTATGTACAACCATGAGGTGGGAATGCCTGAGATTCCTGAAGCCACATCCCCTCCTTTAACAGAGTATAATGCATGCATCTCCTCTGTGCTTTCAGGTCTGGAGTACCTTGTAGCTGGACACGAGGACGTCAGGACAGGCAAACTGGTTGTGAATATGAAAAGCTTTGTCCAGCGCTGGAAACCGGCTCTCGGGAGAAGAGTCATGCATATCTTAAAAAGAGAGTGCAAGTAGCCCCTGGATGTGTGAAGAAGCCCCTGGAGGTGTGAAGAAGCACACAAAGGCTCTTCCCTGGTTAGAGACTCAAGTGAGATGAGAAAGAGATCTCGAAGTGAAACTGGAATATTTCTTAAGTGCCAAAAAGCAGAAAAATGTTCCAATGTGTAGGCCTTGTCTGACCTATCTGCTCTGGATCTGTGTTTGATTTCAGCTTTGTTTCATAAGGAGAAGGGAAAACCCCTGAGCCGATAGCTGCTTCCCGTGGAGCTGGTTCCCAATGTCACAGCTACGGAGAGTATTTTAATGGCAACATGATCTTTAGCACTCACCCATTAAGGGCTGTATCCCTGGGAAGGTCCCCTCCCAGCTTTAGATATGTGCATTGTATTTGATGCTATTTAAGGAATTAATGCGATTTTTAGGAACCCCTCCCCCCAACTCTACTGTCAGCAAAGGCATTTCTTAAAAAGAGCCTTGTCTTGTGTGCTGTGTGTGGACACGGGTGTGTGGGATGGGAAAGGAACTTCTCCGTGTATATATAGTATTTCTTCGCGTAAAGCACTTTACCTACCACTGGTGTGAAAGTTCGGAGACCGCTGTGGACAGGAAGAAAAGAGAAGGGTGGTGTGAAGACCTATTGAAACCGAGGCCACTGTGGGAGACACAGCAACCGTGACAAAGAAAACTCTCTGCTGTTCCGCTCTCCACACTGGGAGAAACGCTGGAAAGATACAACGGGAAAGGAGAATGTTTGCGTGAGGTCTCTGAGAGGTTACAAGACACTGGTCATGATGAAACTTAAAAAAGAAAGAGAGATAGAGAGACTCCAGGTCAAGAGGAAGAAACCATAAGCACAGACAGATGTTTGCATGCAGGGAGAGTAGGCTTCACATGTCGAAAGACTCAACTACTTGTGATGCACTTGTACACACTTGGAAAATTATTGTAAACACAGAATTTGTTCTATTTTTGTGTTTAGTATTTAAACGTGAACATTGGACCAGTTTTCTTTCTTCTTTTATTAACAGTACATGGTCATGACATTTACCTGTTTTGCTAACACAGCATATGTGATAGTTCAGCACACTACTGTTTTTCACTATCTTTTATTTTCTTTACCCAGGCATGGCCACTCTGTGTACAGTACCGACTGTACTGGAATTTGCAAACCAGCACCACAGTGCCGAAACCTTAGGTTCATATCCGGGTCATCTTTTTCCCCGAGGTCCTGTGGACTCACAAATATATATATATATATATATATATATATATATATATATATATATATATATTGCTTTGTGAAATTTTTATATTTCATGTATGTAATAAAGGAATATGACCTCCTGACCTTTGTATCCTGACCAATTCTTCAATGGTGCCAAAGATGAACTTCTTTTAATAAGGGAACTTGAGTCTAATTCCTTAAATTAAGAAAATTAATTATGGGGGAATGACTTGTGGGTAAATTAAAAGCATTTGTCATGCAAGCCTCACGACCCGAGTTCAAACCCCAGAATCCACACAATAATTAAGAAATGAACTGACTTGGGCAAGCTGTCATCTGATTTCTACATGTGCACCAGAACACATGCATGCCCACACAGCATACACACGCCAACTAAATCAATGTTTAGTTAATCCCGCCACTCAGGAGGCAGAAGCAGGTGTGTCTCAGGGTTCGAGGCCAGCCTGGTCTACAGAGCAAGTTCTACAGCCAGGGCCGCACACAGGAAAGCCTGTCTCAGAAAAGAAGAGGAGGAGGAAGAGGAAGAAGGGGGGAAGAGGGAAGCGGAAGAAAGGAAAGGAAGAGAGAGCTAGGGCCTCAGCGAGGCCCCAACAACAAGGCGGGAGGTGAGAACGAGCTCCCAAAAAGTTGTTCCCTAACCTGCACACATAAACTCTGAACAGATAACCCTGGAAGAAAATACATTATAGAGAAAGAGTAACCCAGTTACTCTGAGATTTAGGGCAGAGCAGAAGCAAATGGATTTTCTTTCTGCATTGCCATTTTCATAACATTTGTTGTCTGTATTTTTGGTTGTAAGCCTAGCCTTTAACAGCCAAGGCGTCCCTCTAGCTCGACATACTAATTTTTTAACTAGTTTATTTTTTTACGTTAGTGGGGAGGGTTCATGCCACAGCACTCATGTCTAGGTCAGAGGGCATCCGGCAGGGGTTATCCTTCCCTTCCACTACTCAGGTTCCAAGGATCTTACTCAGGTCCTCAGGCTTGGCAGCAAGCACCTCTACCCACAGAACCATCTCACCTGCCCTTAATAATTATAAAAGTTTCCTGCTGAAACACAAAGGGAGTGAGTGAGATGGCTCAGCGGGTATTCATTACCTGTCACCAAGTCTCACAACCTGAGTTCAACCCCAGGTCCCACATGGTAGAGAGAGAAGGCTTTATTCATCAATCAAGAAAAGAAACATACATTCACAGCATACAGAAGGACATCCTCCCATCAAGAGGCTCACCTCAGGCGTTTGCCACAACAGAAAGCTGATAACACAAGACCTCTGTGACTGGAATTTTCCTCTTTAAAGCACATCTCTTGCAACATTAAAGAGAAATCCTTCTTCTAATAATCTCATAATAGCTTGACTCTGAAATCACTTTTAGTCTTTCCCCTGCCGCTTTCAACCTCCCAGGAGCACCCTTTGGTTTCCAAAGTTAGGTCTCACACACACACACACACACACACACACACACACACACACACACACACACCATCATCATCATCCCTGCCGGGGCTCTCTATGTAGGTTCTCTTCTGAGCATTTTACAAAATAACCACCTGGGTATCGAGTCAAATCAGACTTCCATGTATGGCAGCATCGGAACCCAAACACATCCCCCAGAAGCTCCTGGGATCGTTTATGCCCCCCAGAGCTTTCTTCTGGGTACTGCTGCGCCTAATTAGTCAGCTGGTTGTTGAGCAATCCCCACATACCTATCCTGATGTGCCTGAGGTCAACACAGTCTGTGCCCTCCTCTTACATCATTTTCCCTGTAGAGGGATGCTGCTGATGTTTAGCATTTGATGCAATGGAAAGTCTCAATAATAGGATAATCTTTTAATAGTGTCCATGTAATGAGGTCAGATCTATGGGGATGTGACCACGAGTCAAGCAGCAATGTGCATCTGGCTGAATTCAGCAAACAGCAGGGCCTAGTATGGGTAAACAGTTCTTTGGGACACTTTAAGTTCCGGCAAAACAAATCCTCTTCTAAATGATCAGAGACGGCTCTCTGAAGGGTGGGAAAGAAGCCCTCGAAAATGTCCTGTGGTGGCTGTCCCTCTGCCACTCCCGGGAATGCCTGAGGATATGGGTGAACACCCCATTGGCCTCTCGTCAAAGGTCCCGGGACTGAGCTGCTTTGTGTTCATTGTTTAGATGATAAGCAGTCCCCTGATGTAACCCTACCAAACAAACAGTCGACCTTACTCACAACTTATTTCCCACAGTTTGCAAGGAAAATATTTATGAACAGCTTCAATTCTGCAAGGGAGATTGGTATGGTAAGAATGGAACCGAGGCAAAGGAGTGTGCTTCGCATGACTGACAGTTTGTTTTCAGCCGTTCTCCCGGAGAAGGATGCGTCCGGGTATACTTTCTCAAGCGTGATGCTGCGGCCCCTGCATCGCACCAAAGACACGTAACTGTTTCTGTACTATTCAAACGTTAATGAATAAGCTTGAAACCTAGAACCTTCTCCATGAGAAATGCTTAGATCTCTAGTGTTCACATATGCTGCTAACTAAAAAACAGAGAAAAAAGAAATGGCGCTGGATCAAACACTAACTTCTAAAATGTGAGGTTGCTCATTCCAGTTAGAAGCCACAGGGATAGACCTCCATAGAAGAACACTTGCTTAGAGTGCCCCAGTGGCCCTGGATTTGATAAGTCATAGTGTGTCTCTCGGAACAGGAGGCAGAAGAAGCCAGACAAGGGATCCTGCTTGCCAGAAAGAAAAGCAACTTCTACCAAAATTTCACAGCCTCAGTATGATGACTGGCTCAGAATTCCTGGATGCTCCAGGTGTAGTAAATAAAACTGGGCGACCCATGCCCAGTATGGTGGCACATGCCTTTAATTCCACCGTTTGGGAGGCAGAGGCAGGAGGATCTCTGTGAGTTCGAGGCCAGCCTGGTCTACAGAGTGAATGTCAGAACAGGCTCCAAAACTACACAGAGAAACCCTGTCTCAAAAAAAAAAAGAAAAAGAGAAAAGAAAAAGAAAAAGATAGAATCTGAAGTGGAGACAGGCAAAGGCACTTGCCCTTGATGATGTAACTCTGACAACTGAGTCTGTTCCCCAGAGCCCCCACAAAGGGGGAAAGAGATAACCGATTCCACAGTGTGACCTCCCGACGTGTGCCATGAGTGGTATACACACCCATATGCCACACACACAATACTAAAATAATTACATTTTACTTAAAGAATCCTATAAGTAAGGTGCTTTTCTAGGTGCTTCATCCTCTAATGTGTAATACGCCCATTTCCCAGATGCAGTAACTGTGGCACAGAGAAACTGAACTGTTCAAGGAAGGGCACTTTGCTCATGAGTGTGAAGTCTGGATTTGAACCTAAGCAGCCTAATTCACAAGAGTCATGTCTCAAGCAGTAAAAGGACCTGGGTGTCAGAAAGGCATCCACGGGAACTGACGCTAACGGTGGCATTTTCCTGTCTATCGTTTCTCTTGGATCGTGGTTGAGAGAAGAGCTCTGAAGTTCTACATTTCTCCTGTTTTCCTTCTCCAGACTTCGGACTCCAGTGTAGTCTACGATATTCTGTAGTCAGATGATTTCCTGTCTTTGTCACAGTCACCACGCTGCCTGCCACGATTCCTATCAAGACAAAACGGTAAGGGCCCCTCTTTGGCCTTCATTCTCTCCCCTTGGCCTTGCTTTGTAAGGTCCATCTGGGCAGAAAAGCTGCTCCTGCATTCAGCAGTAATGACCCTGACCAAGCTACTGTGAAACGAAGCAGCATTTCAAATCAATTCTCTCAGCTGTGACTTGTGCTGTGTAGGCAAATTCTGCTTGCAAGATGAATGAGAAGGCGTTACACCAGAGTGAGACAAGAAACGGAGAAATACAGAAAGAGACACTTTGTCAACCTAGGATACATAGTGAGAGGCAGGGGCAAAAGGGGAAGGGTAAAAGGAAGCAGTAATTGAAGGCAGAAGCACTCGATCACTCTAGCAGGAGTGAGCAAACTATTTCAAAGTAGAGTACTCAGCCAACTACTTTCATGGCTACACATCCTAATTTATAGTCTTTGAATATTTACTGCTATATCTAATACTTGTCTTGTTACTGTTTTTGAGGAATTAATACAATCAAAGGAAATAAAATACTAAAGAAACATAAGAAAATGATAATAAACTATAAAGCCTGATGGTTCAGTGGTTAAGATCACTTACTGATCTTTCAGAGGGCCCAAGTTTGATTTGCAGAATCCAACTATTGCCTCACAACCATGGGTAACTCCAGTTTCAGGAGAATCTGACACCCTCCTCTGGCCTCCTGGGACACCAGGCGTGTGTGTGGTGCGCATACATGCATGTAGGCAAACACTCATAACATAAAAATAAATAAAGCTTTAAAAAGGACAATTAGAAAGCCAATTTGATTTTACTATATATATTGAGATGGGATTCTAAATTTACCATTTACAGAGTACCCAGCCAAGAAACAATTATAGTCAGTAACCATTGCCTAAAAGCCTTTTTACATGGTAATTATAACAATGGTGATCTCCTTTGCCATCATCAAATACCAGATGCTACCCTAAACTTTAAATGGATTGGCTCCTCTGGTTGCATACAATAATAGCAATAGTAAGGTCAATCATAGAATTAGGCTAAAACCAAGGGCCACAGAGGTCCAATAACGAACTTTCCAAAAGGCAGAATGAATAGAATGAATAAAAGGCAAGGCTAGGCTTTGACCCCTGATGCCTGTGCCTTCAGAGTTTACACTTGGCCTCTGTACGTGCTGTACTGGTAGTTTGTGTAAAATTCAGCAGACATGACTTGTTAATACAATGTTGCAGACCTATCCCTCTGGGGCCTTTACAAAGGTCTGGGTACAGAATAGGAATGGACACTATTTATTTATAAATGTTGTTATTTTGGTTTCTTTTGATATAGTGTATCACATAGACCAGACCGATTTTAGACTCACTATATGTAACTGAGGGTGGTCTTGAACTTCTCATCCTCCTGCTTTCATCTCTCAAGTGCTAGGCATTCACCCCCATGCCCAACCAGGGAGGAAAATTTTAATAAGCATCATTGGTGACTCAGATGTAGGTGGCATCTTGACATGATGGAGAA